AAGAGGTTTTGCGCGTAAAACACAATGTCAAAGAGGAACCACGTGCCGGCCGTGCCGAGGAGGCTCTTCCAGTAGTGGCGGATGATGAACGACCACCGGATCTTCTTCATGTGCACTTCTTCCGCGAGCATCGTCTTGTACACGTGCGTCTCCTCGGCCGTGATGCGGTAGTAGACAAGGAAGAGCGCAGGCAGCACACCGAACCCAAAGAGCACGCGCCACATGATCTCGAGGTTCTGGTCCGTCTCATCGAGAGCGTTGACCATGATCAAACCAAGCACACCGGCGACGAGGAAGCCGACACCTTGCAGCGAGAACGTCAGCGACACGCGGCGGTTGCGGTCGGCGGGCGACGTGGCGTCTTCCGACGACGACGACGCCGCCAGCGGGTACTCGCCACCGATACCGAAACCGAGGACACCGCGCGCAATGACCAAGAACCACAGTGTAGCATGGTCCGAACCGCCGTAGGCTGCGGCGGTGAGAATGCCACCGACAATCAAGATGGCGCAGGTCGCAATCATGCAGTTCTTGCGGCCGTACATGTCACCGAGAAAGCCAAACGTGAGCTGACCGAGGACAGCGCCGATGAGCGCGGCCGTCGAGACGTTGGACTTCATGTCGGACGTGTAGTCTTCCTTGTACTGGTGCTTGAGGATGATGTTGACGATGTTGACCACCGAGAGGTCGTACGCGTCGTTGAAGAAGCCGAGGCCGCGGAGGAAGAACTTGTTGATCATTGCGGGTGAGGAGCAGGCAAAAGGCAAAGTGAGCTGCTGAGGAAAAGGCCCATCGTGAGGAAAAGGCCCAATTTGAGGAAAAGGTGCGGACCCTGCGCGTCTATAACGACGCTGTAGATACTACTGCGTTCGATAGCCAGCATCGTCGTGGGCTGAACGTCGCAGCCGTCGAGGCCACCTTGTCTTCAACGCGTTAACCCTCCCAGACCTAAAGGCGTTAAACTCGATGGCAGCATTGCCATAACACCGCCAAGATCCTCGGCACCAACGTTCAATAGGCTTAAGATCTCTCCAATACAGCGTTTTGGCACTACACTGCAGCGCAGGTTGTTGACTGATCGCATTTTCGGTGGCCTTGCGGGACCTGGTCTGTGGCCGGGTACGGTTAAACGCGTTTTACTCCGTCCAGCGTCGAATGTGCAGGGCGACGTCGTCCTTTGGGTGCGCCAGATGGCGACGACCCGAGATTCCCACTTGACCATCTGTCTCGACGTCCATATCATTTGTACCAAGTGCAAATGGAATCTTCGCAGCGAATCTGCGGTGACGACGGCCCACTCTAAAGTGTGGGAGTCGATGTGACAGGCGACATCGGCAACATTCCCCTGCATACAACACCGAGATGACTTGGATCTGGCCTAGGATCGTCCACATTCAAATCAAATGCTATCAAATCTTCGCCACAAATCACCCTTTCCTCTGGAAGCCCCTTTCCTCAACACAAAGATGACGCAGTGTCCTCGTCTTTTCCTCTGCGGCCATCGGTGATCATGGCACGCTTCCTGCCTGCTTTCGTCGCGCAAGGCCAAGTAAAGTGTTGGGTGCAAGTGCCGGTAGTACTTACAGGTCAGGCCCTAGCTCGCGCTGGCTGAGCCAGCTTATGGCGTGGTTCTACCCGGCGTCTGAGGCCGTTCGTGTCGAAACCTGCTCGAAACGTTGAGATAGGCTGGTGCTATAGATGGCAAGTACTGAGGAGTCTCGGTGGTGCGCCAGCAATGCTACGATGTCGCTTGCCGATGGGCGCAGCTTGGGATCGTGAAGCAAGCAGCGGTGGGTGAGATCTCGGAACCAGTCGGCGCAGTCGGTTGCCAGTGTTGGTCGCACCTCACCCGCCCGAACGGCATCGATGAGTGCAAAGCCTTTGAGAGCTGCGTCCCAGTACGGCATCTTGCGTGTGCTGAGCTCGGTGAGCACGACTCCGAACGAGTAGACGTCGGCGGCTGCGTCGTAGTGACCGCCCTCAAACACCTCGGGGGCGATCCAGTACGGCGTTCCGACGCCATTTGTCAAGGTGCTGAGATCCAGCACTTCTCTTGCGACGCCAAGGTCACTGAGAAGTACGCGGCCGTCAACACTCAATAAGATGTTGTCGGACTTGACGTCGCGATGTAGAATCTGCATCGTGTGCAGATCCAAAAGAGCGTTGGCAATGACCCACGCCACGCGCCAAAGCGAGATCGGGAAGGCCGACGTCTTGAGCAGCGAGCGCAAGCTGCCACCGTCCATATAGGGTAGCACCATCTGAGGTGTTGGCGAGGTCGGATGGATAACAGCCAGCAGCGGCAGCACGTACGGCGACCGACACCTACTCGAATATAGCGCCACGTTGCTATGAGAGAGGTGTCGTACTTGGTCATCGCAGCGACTTCGCAATGAAACGAGGCGAGGCCGTGGGCCTTGGGGATCTTGACGGCCACGACGGCGCCTTGAAATAATGCTTTATACACGACACCGTAGCTTCCGTCCCCAAGCAGCGTCGCCGACGAAAGGTCGATCCAGGGTGCCTCTGGGATCTACGCTTGTCACTAAACCGAAAAGACTAACATGTTGATGCGTCTACCGAGCGCACGGGCAGCGGCGCATACAGGATGGCAGCGACGTCGCGGTGGCCGCGGGCAATCGCCACGTGTAGCGCCGCGTCCCGACACTACGGTCGCGTGTCGAGGCGACAGACGAGCGTGCCTCACGTACCCGAGTCTCATTGGCGGCGAGGAGGCGGCGCACGACGGGCAAGTGGCCCGCCTCGCTGGCCGCCACGAGCGGTGTGCGTCCCGTCTGGACAATAGTTTAATCTTTACAGGGTTAGGTGAGTGTAAATCCACCTACGAGATCTTTATGGTCAACATTTGCCCCGTCCGCGAGAAGCAAGTCGACAATCTCGACATGGCCGTGGGTCGCCGCCAAGCAGAGGGCCGTTCGCCCCGTCTACACCAAGCTCTAAGATCTTGTATGTTGTAGAAATCCATACCGCGGCGTCGATGGCGTCCACGTTGGCAGAAGCGAGCAATAAGAGGCCGACGCTGGCTTTGCACCCCATGGAGGTGGCATGCAGCAACGGCGTCATCGCGTCTCCCTTCCACAACGCTTCTGAGATTTCCAGCTTGACAAAAAAGCACTACCTCTGTAGCGAAGTCGACTTCGACGTTGGGGTGTTTGAGGAGCTGTACGAGGCAGGACCAGTGGCGAAGCGCCAGCACGAGCGGTGAAGTGCCCGCCTATGTCATCTTTATGGATGCTGCTAACAGGACGACGCGTGCCTCGGTGGCCTTTGCGGTCGACGCGCCCGCAGTGAGGAGCTGTCGCACACGCATAGCGTTGCCGTTCTCGATGGCGTGCCCAAGCTACGGCGACGTGAAGCCTCTCGCTGGACAACCAACGTACCTCTTTTGCGAGAGCCCTCTGGATGACGTCGACCACAGTTGTGTGGTGCCGAAGGCGAGCGAGGTCGAGGACGCTTCGGCCCTTCTACGACATGCAAGGATGACCGCATCCCAAGGATTTAGCAACCGATTACGTGATCACACAAGCACAAGACATCTCCTGGCTGAGCGACAAGCACTGACGCAGTGCCCGCGTGTCCGTACCAAGCAGCTTGATGCAACGGCGTCCAGCCGTCCTGTGTTCTTATTGGTACTGCTGCGATGAGAATACGCGCGCACCTTGTCTGTGTGGTCCATGCTCGCAGACGCAGCGAGGAGACTGACCGCGACCGCTGTATGGCCCATGCGCCCGGCTTCGTGCAATGGAGTCCAGCCAATCTACTGACATACGCTTAGGTATGATGCAGAAAAGCGCTGGTTACGTACCTCGTTGGCACAGTCGACATTGGCGCCAGACGCAAGGAGCAGCGCCACCATTTCCACATGGCCCCAGTACGCTGCCTCGTGCAATGCCGTATTGCCAAACTACATAGATATCAGCCGTCGTTGGTCACGGCCTGTCGCCGACCTTGTTGGCGCCGTGGATGTTTGCACCAGCACGCAGAAGCGCGCTCGCCTCTGTCGTATCGCCAGCGCGCGCTGCGCTCACGAGCAACTAGAGCACACGACACTTTAGCACACTGCATCGTACACAGCGATTTACGGCAGTCGGGTCGGCCGAACCAAAGAGCCATTCGAACATCGCGCCGCCTCGTCCACTCACCAAAGATACGAGCTCCACGACATACATTCATGCCCATCACTCTACACGGCGGCCTGTCCAGCGACCTTCCAGCAGCCGCATCACGAAGTCCCATTGGGAGCGCCGCGACCTCGTTTGCTCACTAGCTGGGATACTGACAATTAATGGACTACAGAGGTACACTAGCATTGACGATAGCCAACCGGCAAACAACAATACGCAAAGAGGAACACACCATCTCTGTTCACTTCGACAAATACTTATATATCTATTGCACTCTACGCCTTGTTCTCGACGTAGTGGTCGAGCGGCTCTTCCATCTGGCTCACAAACGACTTGCGCACGTCGTCGTCTTCCATGGCGAGCTTGGCCTTGAAGTCGTTGTCCATGACGCTCGCCTCGTCATTGTTGTCAAACATGCAAAAGACCGTCAGCAAAATCGTGAGCACCGAGATGCCCGCAAACGTAAACCACGTGCCGACGTAGCCAAAGCTCGGGTTGTCGACCCAGAGCGAGAAGCCGTACGACCCAATCGACGCGCCGGCCTTGCCCATGGCGGCCGAGAAGCCGTGGCACGAGCTGCGGATCGCGGTCGGGTACATCTCGGTGGGCATGACGAACGTCGACATGTTGGGGCCAAAGTTGGCAAAGAAGAGCGTCAAGCCAAAGAGCACGATGAAGCCGGCGCTCGACTTGCGGATCTCGTCCCACCAGATGCCGAGGATGAGGAAGACGACCGTCATGACCGTGCAGCCCTGGAGCATGATGCGCTTGCGGCCCATCTTGTTGATGAAGTAGCACGCGACGTAGTACCCCGGCAGCGCCACGAGCGAGATCAAGACGTTCTGGAGCGCAGTGGTGCGGAGCGTGCTCTTGGCACCGACGACCGAGAGAATTGAGGCAGAGAAGAGGTTTTGCGCGTAAAACACAATGTCAAAGAGGAACCACGTGCCGGCCGTGCCGAGGAGGCTCTTCCAGTA